ACTTCCCCACCGACGCAGCACCACAATTTCTTTAGAAACATAGCCCTTTTTCAGGAGTTAATTTTCGTACTTTCCCATCATTGTTGCCGTTTGCTTTTCTTTCTACAGGATCCTTTAGAGTCGAAATTCAAACAACCTCAAGCTTTGAGTTTCATGAAGGTAAGAGATGAAAAAGGTAAACACGGAATCGTTTTGGAATTGTGAGAATCTTTTGAGGCGTGCTATGGTTGCCGCCATTATCATCAAACAATATAATTATATGTATCCCTTTTGTTGGGACAAGTCGTTCTGGGCAATCCCTTAACCTTTTTTAAAACTCCTAAGTGACTTAAGCATCTAATTTCTTCTTGCGATATCACCCTTGAATTAAACATTGAGGTCACGAGGACAAAGGAAATGATCACCAACTGAAGAAGCTTTTGATTGTTAAACAAGCTCTCCTCGTCAGCATCTCGGGAAATGTATAGAGAACAGTATGGAGAATATGCATACTGATGTTAGGGTGTAAAAGATAAAGATACAGTAATAGGAGGAATTCCAAAGCGTCACACGATCCAACATGGCGCATATCCAACACAGACCATATCTGTTTTAATTTTTTCTCACAGCAAATATTTTCTTCCAATTAATTTTAAGATGACTACCGACAGTTTACCCGCGATTAGTTTCAACAGAAGAAGTTTTATACTTTTTTGTATTTTATTGCAGTGTTGTTTTGCAATGGAACCGAGTCACAGACATTCCTGCGACGAACTCCTGAAGCACGATTATTTCAATGATTACGAACCGATGAAGGCACCTCCTGCCGTTAAGACGAGAAAAACGCGGGTAAGAAGCCAATGAATGTCAAAAAACCGAAGCCAAAGTCATCCTAGCAACCAATCAGAACAAAGAGTTGCATTAACCTCAACCAATGAGAATTTCGTGTGAAAACAAGCAAACCGCTTGAAACGCGGTTGACCAAGACGCGATTGTTTTTTATTTTGTATCTGATTGGTTGAGAGGACGGCGCGAATTTTTGGACCAATCACAGAGCAAAGTTAAGTGAAACCAAAGAAACCCCGAATTTCTTTCGACGCTTAAATGAAAATTGCTCTCAAGCTTGGCTTACTCTGAGAGTAAACGTTAGCAAAGTTTACTCCTCAATTGTGGGCGTTAAGTTAAGTTCAGGTGGCAGTCTATCTTTTGATTGAAGCTCTCAACTATAAGTATATCGAATATTTAAAAGATATTTGAAACACCCGACATTACTAGTAAAACCACATCTTGCAACCTCGCTTGTCTTTTAATTTTTTGCTAGCATTCACTGGTCATAGGATGACTGGCTCGCAGTTCTAAATAGATGCAGAGTGGCTTCAGTATAGTTCATGTGGGTAACACTACCACAGACATAATACATACACTGTGAACAATCTTTGTGTGACTAATGAGTCAAATACTCTCGTTATATTTTTAGCTCCGAAACAAACCACAGCTAGATAATGAACCCGCATCACATCACCTACCCCAACTCGCTACTGATTCGCCCGCGCCAGACAGAACAGGTGAGTTGTTAACACGGTATTATTCTATACAACGCTGAGCAGTGCTTGCGAACGTGACTTTGCTATTACTAGCGTCCGATTGTACGCTGGGATTGCCGAACCTAGCACCTGAGGTCCCTCAAGGGGGGACAAGCGTTTTGCGTGTCCTCGGTCTTTGTTGTTGTGTAGTCGAGATGCAGTGTCAAAAAAAAAAACTTCAATCTTTTTCTTTATTATTATATTTTTTCCTTTCCTTTCTGTCAGAATCTGCACTTGTGTCCAATATACAGTGAACAAACCCAACCCAAGAACTTTCCCGTCTTGAGCATCTCTGTCACTATTATTTAATCGACTCGTAAACTTATACATAAACAATTAGGTCATTCGCCATGCGTTGTCCTCAAGTTGGGCCTCGCCTTCACAAACTTTCACGCGATGAAATGCTAGAGATCATAATGGAATTGTAAATTGCTTTCCGCGACAGTCCTTTTCCCCGCACTTTTTTCGTGACGTGTCTAACTTCATTGAGCTTGACAAGTTGTTCTCGCATCTGTTTTACCTCCTCTTTAGATAAAGGCAAAGATAAGACGAAACTGAGCAAGTTGGATCACCTTCCCTCTATCTAACTATAAATTTGTTTTTAACAATGTTATAAATTCATTAATAATAACATTATAGTAATGTATTCATAATGTATAGGTAACATACACGTATGGTTTGCCGGGGTTTTGTAGCGGGGGAGGGGAAATATAACGGTACATATGTTCCCCCCTGTAAAAAAAAAAAATTAAAAATAAGGAAAAAGGGGTATTTTATTGTTAAACATAAACTGGGATTTCTTCGAATGCCCTAATAACGTGCATGTTCTGCAGTTTCCGTCGTATTTTTAGGGAGTATTGCGTGACATCATGAAGAACCGCTGTGCAGGAGATTAATTGCTCACACGAAGCCACATTTTGCGGTAATAGGCTGCGTCAGAAATCATCGCCACCTTTATTTGTTTCAGGAATATTAAGCTAAGGAAATGGTCTGCACACTGCAAAATATGTACGCGCGGTCGTTTAGGTTAAGTAATGAAATATTCTATGCAGTCAAGTTTTTTGCTCTGTATTTATATCTATACTAAATTATTGTTAAGGGGTCCACCTTTAGGATAATTCTCGAATATGGTCCAGTGAATCTAAATTTATGGGAAAGGATCTGTAAAATGTGAGGCAATGACTCCTGTAGTTTCTTTTGAATTTTGAGTGAGAAACTGTCTCTGTTCTGTTCTGGAATATTAACTGAATTCTTCAAGCAAATTGCGTGACTTGCAATTCTGAGGGCTTCCTGTAAGTTGAGGCAGTTGGCGTGGCATGTTGTAACCGTCGCTATGAAAATATTTGTAGAAATTTAATTAAAAATGACATGTCATGTTTGATTCAGTTATCTTGATCTGTTTGTTGGTGGCCTTTGTTCTGTTTTCATTCAAGATGGGGATTTCAAAAGTTTTGAAAATAATACAATAAAACTGTCAGCTTAAGAAACAAAATGGACTAATTTGTGTGCTAGAACCTGCTTTTCTAGCCTTTAAATTTTGATTTGAAAACTTGGCTTCGGGCCCATTAAGTTACTGGGACTTTAAAATTGTTTTAAAATCAAAATCTAAAGGATGGGAAAGCAGGTTCTGGCACCCAAACCAGTCGTTTTTGTTCCTTTAGCTGATGGTTTTATTGTATATTTTTCAAAACTTTTGGATCCCCATCTTAAATGAAAACAGAACAGCTTTACGGACCCGTTAAGTTACCGGGACTTTCGAGAAACGGGTCCCAGGACCGGATCACCCGTGCGGTAAACTCTTTAGTTCTTCTAAACCCATTTCACCCTGACATGGGTCTTTAAGTTCTACATACTGTTCTCGTTGCATTTTCTTTGCAGCCGACATAGGGAATTTGTTTACCTATCGGGAACTACTCAAGTTGACGGTCATATTATATTATTCTTAAATGCTTATATTATTAAATTATTATTATTAAATGCTTATATTAAATGCTTATATTATTCTTAAATGCAGCCGACATAGGGAATTTGTTTACCTATCGAGAACTACTCAAGTTGACGGTCATATTATATTATCCTTAAATGCTTATATTATTAAATTATTATTAAATTATTATTATTAAATGCTTATATTAAATGCTTATATTATTCTTAAATGCAGCCGACATAGGGAATTTGTTTACCTATCGAGAACTACTCAAGTTGACGGTCATATTATATTATTCTTAAATGCTTATATTATTAAATTATTATTAAATTATTATTATTAAATGCTTATATTAAATGCTTATATTATTCTTAAATGCAGCCGACATAGGGAATTTGTTTACCTATCGAGAACTACTCAAGTTGACGGTCATATTATATTAT